AACATGAAGGTCTTGTGATAGCCAATTAGACTTTGGAAATACATGAAGGTCTTGTGATAGCCATTTAGACGTTGTCAGAACATGAAGGTCTTGTGATAGCCATTTAGACGTTGTCAGAACATGAAGGTCTTGTGATAGCCATTTAGACGTTGGAAGAACATGAAAAGTTTAAGATTATATGGATAACAACTTCCTATTTGTTTCTAGTGACGATTCCGATGCACCTTCGTGCACCTCCATTGGGTGCAGTATTTACCTCAAAAGGGACAAGATTTTGCCATGAAACGCCGCTGTTACACATAAACGTTTCATGTCTTGACGTCGGTGGACTTACAAGTGACAAAACGTACAGGCTGCTATTAGGTACTGGTCCAGAAATGGATCTTAATGCCAATACTTTGGAGTGTTATGTCCTGTAATATTAAAAGCGACTAAAATCATGTCCTTAAGAAATCTCTACTAAACGTCCAGTGTGCGATTCCGATTGTATCATAAGTAATATGATGATATGACGGTCAATAAACGGTGTCACCTCCTACCAAACCCACCACGAACTGCAACAGAAATGATTTCTCCGGTTTCATGCACAGAAGGCATCCACTTACAACATGGTAAAAGTATAGGAAAATCAAAGTTGAGGAAAATTGTTTCTCTTGGTCATGATCTTTTAGGGTTAAACCAATACCCCAAAATGGCTGAAACTTTAATATATCATTTTTTGTTACACCATATCATGTTAGATATCAAACGAAAGCTGCTATCACTAGCTTAAATTTTGTAATTATAGTTGTTTGTATATATGTTGCATAGAAGCAAAATTATCGGCCTTCGCCCTTTGAAACAATTCTTTTCAAAATTGGGGAAAAGCACATATTTCCATAATTCTTCACCTATATAATTCATGTTAGTCATAACTATATTTATTTAATAATGTTAACAGTGTGTTGATTTGTTTGAAAACTTTCATTTTAAATATTCCTTTTTAAAACTTATATACTCAGTGAAGCTCATTTATAAATGCTGACAAATATAAGAATACCGACAAGTCGTATATCGGCGGCCATGTTTACCATGGAGACAGGCGAACAGGGTCAAAATATATTTATAATTAAGGAGTTATAATTGCAATCCATTTTTTTGCAAGCAGCAAAAAGACTGAAATGATATATTCTCATGTTTCGTTAAGAACACGTTCTCAAGAACCTTCTTTCTCTTTCAAAACAAACTTTGTTTTGTGGAAGATCTGCAAAAATTCCCGTAAGAGGAAGAGTGTAGATGTGAGATATATGTGCATACCTGTATCTTGCATTTGTGTCACGCCGTATCGATGACTTGATGGGATGTTTCGGTCAGCATATGACCGTTTCTTGCTTTTTGGAAATCGATAGATAGATTACTAATATTGGAAGCTGAAGACAGATGTTTGCTGATGTCAATAACCAAAACAAGTCATAACATGGAAAGGTATAACATTATTACGCATGTATCCGCAACTTTTATTTGATATGTGACATAGTTGACATTGAATAATTTACAAAAATATGAATGTTTGTATTTTTCTGTTAAAATCCTAGTTATTCACCATAGTAATGATGACTAAATTAGGAAATATTTCCCAATTTAGATTTTTCTAGATTTGTTTATATGATGTTTAAGTGGGCTTGTTAAATATGAATAAACTAAAACACATTTATTTGTGGTTGGTATATCGTTATGTTGAGCGGAGAAGTGCATGGTGTTATGAATCGATGTAAAGAAGCGATGACACCAGGAGTCCTCGAAAAGGTGAGCGGATCCTGCCCCACCAGTAGCACCCGTCACAAACTCATGCAAGGGCATTTTAAGAAAAGTTTAAATGCCCTTGAACAACGACCAATACTCTCATTTAGGTAACTACATTATATGCAGACCACTCAGAATACACTCTCGATTACGATAAGGCAAGTCAGTTGTTCACCCGAAAAATTACACGGAAACTATAAATTAATATGTGCGTGCAGTGTGATATGAAATATGTTGTTGTATGTAAATTATCATAAACTGACGTGTGCAATAACATCTGAGTGATTCAAACAGATGCAACGTGCAATCGGAAAGCAATAGCTGTGTTGTTGTCATGGGAATGTTGTGTTGCACTTGCGAAATTGACAAACGGCCGGTCGAGTCCAACTCTGAATAGGGGACAAATAATTCAAATCTAGGCCAGTCTATGTAGCTCGTGCATTGCATTTGGGCGACGGGTTTTCGTTTACGAAAATGAGTATTTCAAAGTGACAAAGCCAGTTAATAATTTGTATAAAATACTTTCCCTGGTGTTTCTATGATATTTAAAACCACGCATCTCGGTTATATTCCTCAGCTGTGGTTTTATTATATCATGGAAACCCCTTGAATAATGTGTTAGTCTTCACGTATAACTCCCTATATACATTCCCGGGTATAAACCTCTCGTTTGTCCTTTAATGAAATCAACATTTAGGTATGAGAAGTAGCTCAGAACTAAAAGACAACCTTGATGGATCTAGATTACTGTGCGATTTCAACTTTCCCCTTGGATAAAACATTTTTGTACATGTTTAATGAGCAGAAAAAAATGAAGTCATTTCCAAATATGATACATATTAAAGTCTTTTGGTGTTATCGATCTATATACATTTTTGTTCATTGTTCATGTGAATACATTAGATATACATGGGTGGTTGTGGTATTTAGGAAATAGACAAGATGTGCACTTTCTGAGTTTGTTACATTCGTAAAGTTAACGTTTTATTATATCTCATCACATAATACCAATTTGTGTCACCTCAAAGGGTTGGAAACTTTCAAGAGCCCCACCTCCTTATTAAACTTCGCTTTGGAAATCCAAACAAAACGATATCTAATTGTAAAGGCGATTCAAAATCACACCTTTTTGCTTCTTGATCGATGTAATTGTTTTAATATTTTTTACAAATGTTACAAAAACGAACTGGCGCATTGATTGCTGAAATTCTTGTACTCAGGTCATAGCTTCATTAAAAAAATCTATTTGAACCACAGGCTATGCATAGCGTGATAGAATAATTGATGTGTTTTCAAAACCCTGTGTGGAGGTATTCTTGTAAACTGGATAATGAAATAATTTCATCAACTCCTTGCACTCTCCAAAGGGCTCGCTTCTGCTACATCAAAGGCTGTGCAGCCTTATGGTCCCTGACGGTATCCTGCATGTAACATTGAAAGGATATTCCTATTATCTCAACTAACGAATTGATAAATAATGCATGCAGCAGACACCGGCTTTGGCAACGTTGTGCGCACGTGGCTCGAGGACGGGGGAGGGTCAGCTATCGCTAGCGTTACAGATCTTGCAGCCACTTGGCAATGTGGGTTACTATCTACACTTAAAGTGTTATTAACGATAATCGACGTGATAGAACCAAGATAACTGTACCTCCAACTACACCGTTACTTGAAGTATAAATGTTCTTATCGACCGGGTGATTAAACTGATATTTAAATTGGATTGTGATTGATCATTTCTATTTTGAAATTATTATAGCAGTGGATCATGCTACCACCAATCTGAATGATAAACCCTAATCGACTGACGAAATGGTGTTGGTGGGTGATAATTAAAATTTGATTTGATATACAGTGAGTGGGTGGGGAGGTGACGTGGGTGGGATTTAAGTGAGCGAGTGGGTGGATTGAGTGAGTGAGTGAGGTGTTATGTCAACAGTATTTCTTACTATGACAGTTTAAGGTTGGAGAAAATTCCAAAGTTACGCACGTCGGAGATTTTAACAAATTTATTGAAACCTACGTGCAGAATCATAATTAGATTGAAACTGAGATTCGAAATCTTGATTAGCGGGTCCTGGCACCTCGGTCTACTGGACCAGCTGCGCCCCAACATCTGGCGAACCCTTCAATTCGAGATACATGACAAGAAACAACCACTGTCTAGTCTCCCTATATCGAGTATATGGACTACAGAACCATCAGACCACTGAAGATCCGGGTAGAAGGTCTTCAGTAACCCATTCTTACCGTAAAAGGAGGCTATGCTTGTCGTAAGAGGCGACTAATGGGATCAGGTGGTCAGGCTCGCTGACTTGTTTCATGCATGTCATCCTATCCCAATTGCATGGATCGATGCTCATGATGTCAATCACTGGATTGTCTGGTTAAGACTGGATTATTTACATACCGCCGTCATAGAGCTGGAATATTGCTAAGTGCGGCGTTAAACAACAAACGGAACAGTAAGCAGAACCATCACGCTATCAAGCCATGCTGTACATAACACAGTAATACGAGCGCCCTCTGGAGGACACCGCCGGTATCCTTTGTACATGTATGTACGAGAACTGTTCAAGGGTTTGCGTGTACACACCAATCTGTATGCATACGTCCGCTGGAGCTTGAACCATTGACTTACAAGCAGATAAGCAAACAACATATATACAGCACAAGTAAAATCTGAGTGAGTAGGTTTTTACGCCGCTTTTTGTAATATTCCAGCAATATCACGGCGGGGGATACCAGAAATTGTCTTCACACATTGTACCCATGTGGAGAATCAAACCAGGGTCTTCGGTGTGACGAGCGAACTGTTTCTAGGCTACTCCACCGCTCCACTAGTGAAAACAAACACCCCTCGAATACCGCCGTGTGGCGAAACGTTCGCGTTAACGTAACGATTGTGGAGACGTTAAATTCGTTTGTGAAACAAACGTACCATGTTTGCGACCGTGTTTAATCGTCCCTACGCCCCTATATCTGAGGACATGTTTAATCGTCCCTACGCCCCTACAATTGAGGACATGTTTAATCGTCCCTACGCCCCTACAATTGAGGACATGTTTAATCGTCCCTACAATTGAGGACATGTTTAATCGTCCCTACGCCCCTACAATTGAGGACATGTTTAATCGTCCCTACGCCCCTACAATTGAGGACATGTTTAATCGCCCCTACAATTGAGGACATGTTTAATCGTCCCTACAATCGAGGACATGTTTAATCATCCCTACGTCCCTATAATTGAGGACATGTTGAATCGTCTGTACGTCCCTACAATTGAGGACATGTTTAATCGTCCCTACGCCCCTACAATTGAGGACATGTTTAATCGTCCCTACGCCCCTACAATTGAGGACATGTTTAATCGTCCCTACGCCCCTACAATTGAGGACATGTTTAATCGTCCCTACGCCCCTACAATTGAGGACATGTTTAATCGTCCCTACGCCCCTACAATTGAGGACATGTTTAATCGTCCCTACGTCCCTATAATTGAGGACATGTTGAATCGTCTGTACGTCCCTACAATTGAGGACATGTTTAATCGTCCCTACGCCCCTACAATTGAGGACATGTTTAATCGTCCCTACGCCCCTATATCTGAGGACATGTTCAATCGTCCCTACAATTGAGGACATGTTTAATCGTCCCTACGTCCCTACAATTGAGGACATGTTTAGTCGTCCCTACGCCCCTACAATTGAGGACATGTTTAATCGTCCCTACAATTGAGGACATGTTCAATCGTCCCTACGTCCCTACAATTGAGGACATGTTTAGTCGTCCCTACGTCCCTACAATTGAGGACATGTTTAATCGTCCCTACGCCCCTACAATTGAGGACATGTTCAATCGTCCCTACAATTGAGGACATGTTTAATCGTCCCTACGTCCCTACAATTGAGGACATGTTTAGTCGTCCCTACGCCCCTACAATTGAGGACATGTTTAATCGTCCCTACAATTGAGGACATGTTTAGTCGTCCCTACGCCCCTACAATTGAGGACATGTTTAATCGTCCCTACAATTGAGGACATGTTTAATCGTCCCTACGTCCCTACAATTGAGGACATGTTTAATCGTCCCTACAATTGAGGACATGTTTAATCGTCCCTACGTCCCTACAATTGAGGACATGTTTAGTCGTCCCTACGTCCCTACAATTGAGGACATGTTTAATCGTCCCTACGCCCCTACAATTGAGGACATGTTCAATCGTCCCTACAATTGAGGACATGTTTAATCGTCCCTACGTCCCTACAATTGAGGACATGTTTAGTCGTCCCTACGCCCCTACAATTGAGGACATGTTTAATCGTCCCTACAATTGAGGACATGTTTAGTCGTCCCTACGCCCCTACAATTGAGGACATGTTTAATCGTCCCTACGCCCCTACAATTGAGGACATGTTTAATCGTCCCTACAATTGAGGACATGTTTAGTCGTCCCTACGCCCCTACAATTGAGGACATGTTTAATCGTCCCTACAATTGAGCACATGTTTAATCGTCCCTACAATTAAGGACATGTTTAATCGTCCTTACGTCCCTACAGTTGAGGACATGTTTAATCGTCCCTACGCCCCTACAATTGAGGACATGTTTAATCGTCCCTACAATTGAAGACATGTTTAATCGTCCCTACGTCCCTACAATTGAGGACATGTTTAATCGTCCCTACGCCCCTACAATTGAGGACATGTTTAATCGTCCCTACAATTGAGGACATGTTTAATCGTCCCTACAATTAAGGACATGTTTAATCGTCCTTACGTCCCTACAGTTGAGGACATGTTTAATCGTCCCTACGCCCCTACAATTGAGGACATGTTTAATCGTCCCTACAATTGAAGACATGTTTAATCGTCCCTACGTCCCTACAATTGAGGACATGTTTAATCGTCCCTACGCCCCTACAATTGAGGACATGTTTAATCGTCCCTACAATTGAAGACATGTTTAATCGTCCCTACGTCCCTATAATTGAGGACATGTTTAATCGTCTGTACGTCCCTACAATTGAGGACATGTTTAATCGTCTGTACGTCCCTACAATTGAGGACATGTTTAATCGTCCCTACAATTGAGGACATGTTTAATAGTCCCTACAATTGAGGACTTGTCTAATCGTCCTTTCGTCCCTACAGTTGAGGACATGTTTAATCGTCCCTACAATTGAGGACATGTTTAGTCGTCCCTACGCCCCTATAATTGAGGACATGTTGAATCGTCTGTACGTCCCTACAATTGAGGACATGTTTAATCGTCTGTACGTCCCTACAATTGAGGACATGTTTAATCGTCCCTACGCCCCTATAATTGAGGACATTTTTAATCGTCCCTACAATTGAGGACATGTTTAATCGTCCCCACAATTGAGGACATGTTTAATCGTCCCTACAATTGAGGACTTGTTTAATCATCCCTCCAATTGAGGACATGTTTAATAGTCCCTACAATTGAGGACTTGTCTAATCGTCCTTTCGTCCCTACAATTGAGGACATGTTTAGTCGTCCCTACGCCCCTATAATTGAGGACATGTTGAATCGTCCCTACAGTTGAGGACATATTTAATCGTCCCTACAATTGAGGACATGTTTAGTCGTCCCTACGCCCCTATAATTGAGGACATGTTGAATCGTCCCTACAGTTGAGGACATATTTAATCGTCCCTACAATTGAGGACATGTTTAGTCGTCCCTACAATTGAGGACATATTTAATCGTCCCTACAATTGAGGACATGTTTAGTCGTCCCTACAGTTGAGGACATATTTAATCGTCCCTACAATTGAGGACATGTTTAATCGTCCCTACAATTGAGGACATATTTAATCGTCCCTACAATTGAGGACATGTTTAGTCGTCCCTACAATTGAGGACATGTTTAATCGTCCCTACAGTTGAGGACATATTTAATCGTCCCTACGCCCCTATAATTGAGGACATGTTTAATCGTCCCTACAATTGAGGACATGTTTAATCGTCTGTACGTCCCTACAATTGAGGACATGTTTAGTCGTACCCACGTCCCTACAATTGAGGACATGTTGAATCGTCCATACAAAGGAGAACATGTTTAATCGTCCCTACGTCCCTACAATTGAGGACATGTTTGTTTTAAACAGTAGAACAGATGGTTATGTATTTATTAACGACAACCTTTCAGGGGGGCTCGGGAGGGGGAAGGATATGGGTGTGGGGTGGTTTGGGCTGGTGTGTGTGTGTGTGTGTGTGTGTGTGTCTGTGTCTGTGTGTGGAACCTGCAGTCTATGCTACCGCATATGCTTATGAATCACTATCAATTAGTGATGATACCAGGTGTTCGCGAAAAGGTGTATCCTGTCCCACCGGTGGCCCCCGTCATAAACACATGCAAAGGCAAGTAATTTTTTCACCTGACAAAACACGGTATCATATGATACAAGTCAAAAAAGGGTATTGCATCGGACATACTTTTTGTCACTGATGTCCTCACCATAACTGAGGCCTTTGAAACCTTGATCAAACAACTTTTGAGCAAGAGTCATATAACGCTTTTTGAAATCTTTGAGGAAAGAGTAGATGAATGTTCCTCAAACGTTGTGAAATGTAGACACCAAAGGCTGGAGCTGCTTGAATATTGCTCGACATAAAGGGAAAGTTGACTGTTGGAAAGTTAAAGTTTTCCCTCTTGTCTTGTGTAGTGTGTCTCCCTGACACAGCGCCCCCGTCAGGTAACGGCCCCATCAACAACGCAGCATGGTCGTGTGGCAATTAGTGCCACGTAATAGTTAATACTACGCGAAGGGACTATATGTATATGTCTGGTTCGGGTGCAGATGGTACATGCAGATCTGCGAGCTTTAGCGAATTTATTATGAAGAACGTTTGTGTCGTGGTGGATGTTTCACACACGCCTCCTATCCTTGGTTGTGGCCTTATAACAAACACATCAAGCCTGTAGCCCTTATTGTTTTTTACTGATCTAAATTCCAGCTCGTTAGCGCTGTTAGATATAAGTGCGCATTGACGCATCCTTTTCTGTTGGCACCGTGTGCTTTGTAGTGCATCTTATTGAACGTGGCTGGGCGTGGGCCGTGTGGAGCTTCCTGTCGGCAAGGCTACTTGCACGGGGGATTAATAAGAATTATTTCTCTTTGATGAAGGGGAACAGAGTGGAATATAATGGAATAACAGTCGCAGTTAACATGATCATTAACCACTATGTTGGGAATGGTGCCATGTCCTTCATAAAGCACATGTTATAACGTTTTGTTGGTCAATTTAACCTAAACCTGCATATAGCTTTGTCCGTCAGTCTGACTTATATGACGTTTTTAAAAGCAAATGCTCCATCAGTATGAACTTAAACTTCTAACTGATTATGCCATATACTTTTCCCGCCAGTGCGACCTCAAACTACATACCTTAAGCAATAGAGTTTTATCTTTCAGTCTGACCTTAAATTGCATATGGTTTATATTGTAAGAGCGTTTTGTTCGCCAGTCTGACCTTACACTGCACTTGGTTATTGTAAGAGCGTTTTGTTCGCCACTCTGACCTCACACTGCATATGGTTGATGTTATGGCGATTTGTCCGTCAGTCAGACTATATACTGAATATGGCTTTTGTAAGAGCATATTCTCCGTCATTTTGACCTTAAACTGCATAGCGCTTTGCAATAGAGTTTTGTTCGCCAGTCTGACCTTAAAATGCACATGGTTATTGTAAGAACGTTTTATCCTCCAGTCCGACCTTACGCTACATATTGTTGCCCGTCCGCCTGACCTAAAATGCATTAGATTGATGTCACAGCGTTCTGTCCGTCTGCCAGACTAAGAAAAGACTATGGCTTTTGTAAGAGCAAATTCTCTGTCATTGTGACCTCAAACTGCTTATAGATTTATGCCATAACGTTTTCCCACCAGTGCAACCTCAAACTGCATAGCGCTTATGCAATAGAGTTTTGTTCGCCAGTCTGACCTTAATCTGCATAAGGTCATTGCAAGAGCGTTTTGTCCGCCAATCTGACCTTACACCGCCTATGGTTTTTGTGAGATCTTTTTTCAGCCAGTCTTACTGTCGACGCTCATATGAACTTATGTAAAAAGAATTGAATGACCTCTAGCCATATGAAAATGATGTTACTTTCCGTTTGACTTGAAACGTACGGCACCCAACACCTCCTGGCTAATGAGTCCACTGTGGGATGAGGCCACTTCACAGCCAAGTATATTTAACCTTGGATCTTGGGAACACGCCAGGAAACATATGGGAATTAATGACTGATAATCTCCACATATTAAGACCCGCGTAACGATTTCAATGTGAGCGACACCGTCAGTTATTATAATATTTCACCATTGATCTATACTGCAACTTGTTCAATCACGGCGAGCGGCATAATTGACTTCAGATGACATCCCCCCAAACTGTGGCACTCTAGACTAAAGACAACGTGTTATTTCTGTGGAATTGTAGATTTCAATCTCGACTGACATTGACAACACTTGGTGATCGATACGCCCTTATTTTCCCATAATGAAGACAACTACTGAAGGAAATGTATATGTGCATATTTCACGTGCGTGGGTTTTGTATCAGTCCAGCACTAGAGCTGAGGTCACTAAGTGTCGGGATCAAGTAAC